GAATTCAACATCCTACAAGAACGTGTGGCAAAGCAGAGCAGGAAATCATCACATTCAGGGACAAAACAATTACAAAGAGCACAAACCAAATGTATTTTGAAACTGATTTTAAAGTACAGTCGACTCCCGATAACTCGAACCTTCAAGGGAAATCGAAAAAGTTCGAGTTATCGGGAGTTCGAGTTATCGGGAGCTCGAAGAAAATAGCCGAGAGTAAGGCAAAAAACAGTTTTTACTGCACAGTGAACATTTTAATCACATTTAATTGTAGAAATGTCAAGTGAAAATTAAAAGATACTTCTAGATTATAAATCAGAACCTAACGTAACAAAACATAGCCTAAATAGAGCATGCGTTTTACTGTTTTTGAGAAGTAAAGCTGCTTCATGTTAGCCTGTTACAATCAACATCAGCCTCCACTAGTAAACTCTACTACTACAACATGTCAATAGGAAATCCAAAATTCAAGGTTTCGGACGCCAGTAGACAGCCTTTTTTCCCGACTTTTTAAGGGCTCAAAACATGGTTCGAGTTATCGAGGGTAAAATTATATAGAAAATGACCTGAGGGGAAACGAAAATTGGTTCGAGTTAGCGGGAGTTCGAGTTATCGGGGGGTAAAATTACAGTGAATGTATGACGGAAATCCACGGGAAATCGATTTTGGTTCGAGTTAGCGAGGGTTCGAGTTATCGGGAGTCGACTGTATTTAAAATGTATTTTCAGTATTTGAACACTATTTTCCTGTATTTCAATCCTATTTGACCCCCCCAAAAAAAAAAGAAAAATTCGCTTCTGTTTGAAATATATCTTAAGTGTAGTTTAATTGTATTTCATCAAAAGGAAAACCTCTCTCATCAATTTACAATGTATTTTGTTCAATAAATGTGATTAAAATAGGGTATTTAAAATGTATTTTGGGCATAGAACCACTAACACTGTTACAAACAGAGTTCAAATAGGTTTGAAATATGTTTTAAGGGCTTAAATGCTGACTGTATTTTAAATAGGGTACTTTAACAATGTTTTGAGTTGTATCTAAAATGTATTTTGAGACGCATCCACTCACAAAGTTACAAACATAGTTCAAACAGACTATTTGAAATATGTTTTAAGAGCCTAAATGCTGACTACATTTTAAATACTTTTAAATAGGGTACTTTAACACTGTTTTGAGTTGTATCTAAAATGTATTTTGGGACGCATCCGGGGGGGTGGGGGGGGGGGCACTTGGGTATTTTTGCGGTGGGTATGTGCCGCCCGGGACTCCAAATTGGCACCCCGTTCTAAAAAAAATTTCCCGTATTTTTAAAAGCAATCTGTTCTTGAATAATTTCAAATGGCTGCTTACAAAACTGGAGCTTTCGTGCGTTCGAAATATTATACCCCGTTCTAGAAAACTCCTCTGAAATGGGTACCCCGTTCTAAATCAGGAGCTTCAAAATCATGACCTCGTTGGGCGGCAAATACCCGTATAGGTAATGTATGGGACGCATCCACTCAAAAAGTTATATACAGAGGTCAAATATACTATTTCAAATATGTTTTAAAGGTCAAATGAACCAAAATTTCGACCTTTTTTTTATTTTAGTTCAATTCTAGTGAAATGTGTTTAATATGAACCAAATAAACATACCATGAAGTTTCAGCTCAATTGAAGCAAGTATCTCGGAGATATTCGCAATTAAAAATTGTTATTTTTTGGCCCTTATCTTCGTAGAGCGGTCCGAACAATTGTCGTTAAAAACAGCTTGTGACGTCAATGTTGGTCAGGTGAAAAAAGCGGGAAATTCAAAACAGTGTTGTTCGAGTCGACTTGGCGCAGAATGGTGGTGGTTTGTGCGGCCATAAACCTAGAAAGAACAAGCAATTTGTCTTCAAAAGTTGCAAGCTGTGGTTATAACGTTATTATTTAATTTTCTCGAAGAATACATCATAGTAAAACTGACTTTCACGACGGCATTAACTTCCTTGCGCTGTACTGGAAATGTACGTGCGTAGGTGCGATTTTTTTCAAGATGTATTCACAAAATGTGTTCATATAAAGAAGTTTCTGGATATGTAAGGTCCGGAGCTCCACTGTGGACACAAAAACAAAATATCTTTGCATAGTGATTTGCCCAAAGAAATTCACCCTTGCCCACAATGTGTTTGATGTCATTGAACTTTGTCGCACTCGAGCTCAGTGATATTTTAAAACCCACGCTCGATCGGACACTTGTGCTTCGCAGAACACTAAAATATAAACAAAATCCTCCATGTAGAAGTTTTGGCGTTGATATGTGGGCAGAAAAAGAGTTAATCTTTATCTAGTAAAATCTTCCCCAAAATCGGTTTCAAAGCAACTACAACAGTTTTTTTAAACTTGATCGTTTCGCGCAGATAAAGTTTGCTTTGTGTTGTCAAGTTGAACATTTGAAGATTTCCTTCAAAAGAAAAACAAAGTTGAAATTGCATTATTGCAAAAACTTCTCTCCAGTTATGTATATGATTTAATTACCGACTGAGGTCACTTTAAGGACCGTAGACGCCACTTTAAGCTCGCAAAGAGAGGCGACAAGCAAAGAACAATTCCATCATGCATAAAATTCAGCTTAAGTGAACTAAAAAAAGCTTCAATAAGGTTGCAAAACAACAAATTTCCACTCAAAAAACATAACGCTTAAGGCTCTTATACCGGCTGACAATGAAGAAGTGACTTTTCTGTGCGAAATAACCTACCTAAAGATCGTAAAGGTGAAAGATCAGTAGCAAGCTTCGCACCCAAGCCATGGTTCACCATTTAACTATTTTTAAAAACTGGTCCATGCGAGGGTCTTCATTCAAGCAAATTAAACTCAGCAAATTGAATCATTAGAAAGTGCAGAAAACTGCTCATAAGGGTTTGTTTTGCTCGCTTCAGTCAAATCCAGCTCCAGCAATTGTTTACGGGCAAAGAGTTAATTGTTTTGAAGCCACTGCCGGCAGTTGTCGTTGTCAGCTACTTTACAGCTAGTGAAAAGGAAAATTTGCGTACAGAAAGAAAACAAAACTACGTAATTAAAACTGACAAAAGATTAAAAAAAATACTGTGACTATTATTACTTGAGCAACAGAAAAGTGATCGAAGTAGTCTGTTCTTTTCGAATAACCTTGCTAACCTTCTATAGTTCCGAGGACGTTTTAAGCGCTCAAGTTTGTTCACTTGTTAGCATTACGGTTCTTTGACATAAGACAAGGATAAAGCTGGTTCTGCAAAGGTAAATGAATCTGGGCATGTAAAAAAACTAACCGTAACTACTAATAACAGAATACAAGCGGGTTTTAGTTCAGCCCTTCGAAACAAGGCGAAGCACTGGACACAGAATCAATTCACAAATCGAATGCACAATTATCAGAAAAATACAAACCTCTTTTGAAATGTTCAAAACGTTTTATTCCTCCTCAGATGACGGAATGATCTGTTTCTACTCTTACATTGGTTGTTCTGAATCCAAAGTAATTTTCAAGTGACGAAACAACAACAACAAAAACCAAAGAAAAAAGCCTTTCAAGGAGCAAACGTTAGCACCTCGTGTACTTCACTTAGTCTCAGTCAGAACTCTCACAGAACGGGACAAACAAACGCAGGCGATAAGGGATGCGCAGAAGCTTGCGCAGAACGTTTTTTCGCCCTGAAAGACCCACACTGACGTCACGTAGTCTTCAGTCTATCCACTGGTAGCCCAAGCTCACTATGAGAGCCCTGAACAACATTATCCTACTTAGCTAATTAATTATTCATACAGCAAGAAAATTATAAGACGTTGTATGGAGAAATATTCTTTGCTCACTAAATTAGCAAAATGTACATTGAATATCGCTTTGAAGCTTACCTTTAGCGTCTTCTTGTTTTTCTTTGTATTCTGACTGCATTTCAGACCTCCTAGGCACTGTTTAAGGCCTTTTTTGGAGTGACAGTTTTTCACCCGGATGACAGTAGAGAGAAGAGAAGAGAAGGTTGGCAAGCCTCTCTTGACCGGCTCCGCTCTCGGCGGCGATAAATTCCGTGACATTTACGACATGGAGACAATTCCGCCAGAAACAGATACCCTGATAACGCACATTTTCCATCATTCACATCGCCAAAATTCCCATTTCGAAGGTCCTAAATCGCCAAGGAAGTGGGCCATACACGGCTGAGGTTAGGCGAGTCGAGAGCAGACCCGCAACGGACTCCAACCGTCAAGTCGACAATTTCAAACCGACGCGGGCTGGCAGGGTCAAATTGTTCAACCGTCAAAGGACAATTGGAGCATTTAGCCTACTGGGCACAGTAAATGATTTTTCACTTCTCACATTGCACTCCGGGGTCGCGGAAGTCAAGCATCGCGTGTGATAGTGACATGTAATATCAAAACATGTCGCGTTGTTGCATTTGGTTGATCTCTACTCTTCTTTTTAAAAAGCGTTTGACAATGGTTTCTTATGAATGACTTAGAAATTAAAAAAATATTGCAATAAGAATTACTACGGCTGTAAACAGTTTTTAGCTATTTTTCTTCCCTTTTTCAACAAGTGGCAGTAAGTAGCAAGTTTGGGAACAGGATCTTCCGGCAGGTGCTCTTATCTATTTCTTGACGCTACTATTAAACCATGATTAATAGTAGCGTCAAGAAATCCAATCAATACAAAAATAGCTACTACATTTGGAATTCATATTTCAGAAATAGTTTGCTTGCACTGTAAGCAGCTGATGTATAATTTGATCTTGAAATCGGTGTAGCTAATGTGGCAGAATTACCAAGAGAAAATTCAATGAAATATTTATTTACATATTTCCTTTCAGTAAAAACACCCCCAATAGATAAGAGCACCTGCCGGAAGATCCTGTCCCCAAACTTGCCACTAAACAACTGTTTAGTTGAGACTGGAGCCGGTCAAGAGAGGTTTGCCAACCTTCTCTTCTCTTCTCTCTACTGTCATCTGGGTGAAAAACTGTCACTCCAAAAAAGGCCTTAAACAGTGCCTAGGAGGTCTGAAATGCAGTCAGAATACAAAGAAAAACAAGAAGACGCTAAAGGTAAGCTTCAAAGCGATATTCAATGTACATTTTGCTAATTTAGTGAGCAAAGAATATTTCTTCATACAACGTCTTATAATTTTCTTGCTGTATGAATAATTAATTAGCTAAGTAGGATAATGTTGTTCCGGGCTCTCATAGTGAGCTTGGGCTACCTGTGGTCTATCACGCGGCCATTTCAGAAACGTTTTCGTGAAGTTTTCGGAAATGCTCGGATTTTGATCTTTTATCTTTCTATAAAGGCTCGGGAAGAAAAATCTTTACCCAAATATCACTTAGGATGGCTCTTTTTAGTGTTTGGTGGAGGTAAATCGACAAAAGAAAATATGTCAATTTTTTGGTTCATTTGACCTTTAAGACCTTAAGCACTGACCGCATTTTAAATACTTTTAAATAGGGTTCTTTAACACTGTTTTGAGGTCTATTTGAATTGTATTTTGGGCACACAACACTCTGACTATAAAAACAGATTATACATAAACTATTTAAAGTCTGCTCAAAGACATCAAATGCTGACCTTCTTTTAAATACTTTAAAATAGGGTACTTATTACTTATTATTATTGAGGTGCAATATTGTAATGTATTTTGGGATACTTATACTCAGACTGTAAAAGTAACAATTGCACAAAGTTAATTTTTAAGCCTTCATCGTGTCACGAACTCATAAATGACTCAAAACAAGCTGTCACATATTGTGGACCGGATTCTTCTCTCAACAAAGTTCGAAGCTGAGCAAAAAATTAAATCTCCCGGCAAATCAAAAATAAATTGAAAAAATAGAAGAAAATTAGGAATCGATGTTAGCTTTGACTGACAACACGTCACTGTGACGGTTATTACTTGGTGTTAAGGTGCACGAATTTATGCTAATTAATATATGCCAATGTCTATGTCATATAATGATAGTATCATGGAGTCATTGTTTCATAGGTCTCGTGGTGTCAGTGGTTTCATAGTTTCATGTGTTTCGTGGTTTCATAGGTTCAGTGGTGTCAATAGTTTCATGGTTTCATAGGTTTCGTGGTGTCAATGGTTTCAAAGTTTCATGGCTTTCGTTGGTGTCAATGGTTTCATGGTTTTTTAGGTTTCGTGGTGTCAATGGTTTCGTGGTTTCATAGGTTTCGTGGTGTCAGTGGTTTCATGGTTTCATAGGTTTCGTGGTGTCCATGGTTTCATAGGTTTCGTGGTGTCCATGGTTTTATGTGGTTGGTGGTGTCAATGGATACATGGTTTCATAGGTTTCGTAGTGTCAATGGTTTCATGGTTTCATAGGTTTCGTGGTGTCAATGGTTTCATGGTTTCTTAGGTTTCGTGGTGTCAATGGTTTCATGGTTTCATAGGTTTCGTGGTGTCAAGGGTTTCATGGTTTCATAGGTTTCGTGGTGTCAATGGTTTCATGGTTTCCTAGGTTTGGTGGTGTCAATAGTTTCCTGGTTTCAAAGGTTTCGTGGTGTCCATGGTTTCATGGTTTCATTGGTTTCGTGGTGTCAATAGTTTCGTGATTTCATAGGTTTCGTGGTGTCAATGGTTTCATGGTTTCATGGTTTCATAAGTTTCGTGGTGTCAATGGTTTCATGGTTTCATGGTTTCATAGGTTTCGTGGTGTCAATGGTTTCATGGTTTCATAGGTTTCGTGGTGTCAATGGTTTCATGGTTTCATAGGTTTCGTGGTTTCAATGGTTTCATGGTTTCTTAGGTTTCGTGGTGTCAATAGTTTCATGGTTTCATAGGTTTCGTGGTGTCAATGGTTTCATGGTTTCATAGGTTTCGTGGTGTCTATGGCTTCATGGTTTCATAGGTTTCGTGGTGTCAATGGTTTCATGGTTTCATAGGTTTCGTGGTGTCAATGGTTTCATGGTTTCATAGGTTTCGTGGTTTCAATGGTTTCATGGTTTCTTAGGTTTCGTGGTGTCAATGGTTTCATGGTTTCATAGGATTCGTGGTGTCAATGGTTTCATGGTTTCCTAGGTTTCGTGGTGTCAATAGTTTCCTGGTTCCATAGGTTTCGTGGTGTCCATGGTTTCATTGGTTTCGTGGTGTCAATAGTTTCGTGATTTCATAGGTTTCGTGGTGTCATTGGTTTCATGGTTTCATGGTTTCATAAGTTTCGTGGTGTCAATGGTTTCATGGTTTCATGGTTTCATAGGTTTCGTGGTGTCAATGGTTTCATGGTTTCATAGGTTTCGTGGTGTCAATGGTTTCATGGTTTCATAGGTTTCGTGGTGTCAATGGTTTCATGGTTTCATAGGTTTCGTGGTGTCAATGGTTTCATGGTTTCATAGGTTTCGTGGTGTCAATGGTTTCGTGGTTTCATAGGTTTCGTGGTGTCAATGGTTTCATGGTTTCATAAGTTTCGTGGTGTCAATGGTTTCGTGGTGTCAATAGTTTCATGGTTTCATAGGTTTCGTGGTGTCCATGGTTTCATGGTTTCATTGGTTTCGTGGTGTCAATAGTTTCGGGATTTCAGAGGTTTCGTGGTGTCAATGGTTTCATGGTTTCATGGTTTCATAAGTTTCGTGGTGTCAATGGTTTCATGGTTTCATGGTTCCATAGGTTTCGTGGTGTCCATGGTTTCATTGGTTTCGTGGTGTCAATAGTTTCGTGATTTCATAGGTTTCGTGGTGTCAATGGTTTCATGGTTTCATGGTTTCATAAGTTTCGTGGTGTCAATGGTTTCATGGTTTCTTAGGTTTCGTGGTGTCAATGGTTTCATGGTTTCATAGGTTTCGTGGTGTCTATGGTTTCATGGTTTCATAGGTTTCGTGGTGTCAATGGTTTCATGGTTTCATAGGTTTCGTGTTGCCAATGGTTTCATGGTTTCATAGGTTTCGTGGTGTCAATGGTTTCATGGTTTCATAGGTTTCGTGGTGTCAATGGTTTCATGGTTTCATAAGTTTCGTGGTGTCAATGGTTTCATGGTTTCATAAGTTTCGTGGTGTCAATGGTTTCGTGGTGTCAATAGTTTCATGGTTTCATAGGTTTCGTGGTGTCCATGGTTTCATGGTTTCATAGGTTTCGTGGTGTCAATAGTTTCATGGTTTCATAGGTTTCGTGGTGTCAATGGTTTAATGGTTTCATAGGTTTCGTGGTGTCTATGGCTTCATGGTTTCATAGGTTTCGTGGTGTCAATGGTTTCATGGTTTCACAGGTTTCGTGGTGTCAATGGTTTCATGGTTTCAAAGGTTTCGTGGTGTCTATGGTTTCATGGTTTCATAGGTTTCGTGGTGTCAATGGTTTCATGGTTTCATAGGTTTCGTGGTGTCAATGGTTTCATGGTTTCATGGTTTCATAAGTTTCGTGGTGTCAATGGTTTCATGGTTTCTTAGGTTTCGTGGTGTCAATGGTTTCATTGTTTCATAGGTTTCGTGGTGTCAATGGTTACATGGTTTCATAGGTTTCGTGGTGTCAATGGTTCCATGGTTTCATAAGTTTCGTGGTGTCAATGGTTTCATGGTTTCTTAGGTTTCGTGGTGTCAATGGTTCCATGGTTTCCTAGGTTTCGTGGTGTCAATAGTTTCCTGGTTTCATAGGTTTCGTGGTGTCCATGGTTTCATGGTTTCATTGGTTTCGTGGTGTCAATAGTTTCGTGATTTCATAGGTTTCGTGGTGTCAATGGTTTCATGGTTTCATGGTTTCATAAGTTTCGTGGTGTCAATGGTTTCATGGTTTCTTAGGTTTCGTGGTGTCAATGGTTTCATGGTTTCATAGGTTTCGTGGTGTCAATGGTTTTATGGTTTCATAGGTTTCGTGGTGTCAATGGTTTCATGGTTTCATAGGTTTCGTGGTGTCAATGGTTTCGTGGTGTCAATAGTTTCATGGTTTCATAGGTTTCGTGGTGTCAATGGTTTCATGGTTTCATAGGTTTCGTGTTGCCAATGGTTTCATGGTTTCATAGGTTTCGTGGTGTCAATGGTTTCATAGGTTTCGTGGTGTCAATGGTTTCATGGTTTCTTAGGTCTCGTGGTGTCAATGGTTTCATGGTTTCATGGGTTTCGTGGTGTCAATGGTTTCATGGTTTCTTAGGTTTCGTGGTGTCAATAGTTTCATGGTTTTATAGGTTTCGTGGTGTCAATGGTTTCGTGGTGTCAATGGTCTCATGGTTTCATAGGTTTCGTGGTGTCTATGGTTTCATGGTTTCATAGGTTTCGTGGTGTCAATGGTTTCATGGTTTCATAGGTTTCGTGGTGTCAATGGTTTCATTTTTTCATGTTTTTGGTTTCATAGGTTTCGTGGTGTCAATGTTTTCATGGTTTCATAGGTTTCGTGGTGTCAATGGTTTCATGGTTTCATAGGTTTCGTGGTGTCAATCATTTCGTGGTTTCATAGGTTTCATGGTGTCAAAGGTCTCGTGGTTTCATGGGGTTCATGGTGTCAGAGGTTTCATGGTTTCATAGGCCTCTTGGTGTCAAGTAGCCTTCCCGCAGACGTCCTTAGGGGTTTGTTCGTCACGCGTTCATTTCTCCCCCACGGACGTCTGCTAAACACAGCCGACATTTACGTTCACTGATCAGTGAGGCTTTTGATCGGGTGTGCGAGAAATTTGTAATGAATGCAGAGTTAAACAAGTATCAGAGAGACGCTATCCTGCAAATTTTATAGAGAAGACCGACGAGTTCATAAATTTGCCGACGGGATTTGGTAAATCCCTTATCTATCAAGCTTTGCCGCTTGTTTGCGACACTGCTTGGAACTCCTGGACATTATTGTTGTTGTTTCGCCCCTGGTAAATCTTATGAAAGATCAAGCTACAAAGCTGGAAAATATTTGTATTCCTGCTGTAGTGCTCAGTGATATGTATTTTTTAAATTCAATTTAATTTATTTAAAACACTTGCAATTACAAAGTACTTACTTACAATACTTACTTACAAACAATGTATGTTACTTACGCTACTAACAAAACTATACTCTACTTACAAAACAATACTTACTTACAATGTGAGATACTTACGGTAAGAAATAAGCGTTGACAGGCCAAACACGACTCATAAGCTCGTGATAATGTGAAACGTGACCTTGGGAGTCTGCTTGAACAGTGGTTCTCTTTCTTTTTTCTCTCGCGCGAAGGTTACTAGCACTACACAGTGCAGGAGGTGTAGCATTCTAAACTTTGACTGAGTAAATCTTGTTTTTGACGCACTAAATCTTATATTTAGAGGTCATGAAGCAGGTTTGTTACATGCATACTGAGTAATCATTTCCTGTGGTTTATGCTTCGGTAGGTGTCCCTGATAGGATTTGATTTCAGATGCAGTTGTAAAGTGTTTTATATCTTTTGACCTCTGTTTATTACGGCTGGATAAAGATTTTAGTTTTTTTTGTTTTCTCCGAAATGGCTGTATCTGAAAAACTACATGCATGCATGCAAGTTTCTTTGTCCGTGAATGTGATTATTTCCTGCCATGTCAGTATGACTCTGGGCCCAGCTCTATAGTGTGGTTTGCAGGATTTTGAATTTCCACGGATAGTGCGATCTTCAGATATGAGTTGTACACTGTAGCTTAAAAACTAAAGCTACACCAAGTTTGGAGAAATATGCCGTGCGTCAGTCAAGATAATTCTCTTAGCGCTCACACAGTCCATTTAGTTTTTCTTAACATAAGTGAGTCTTTGAACTAGAGCGCGATGTCTTGGTGTTCCTTCGTAGGTATTTTCTTAAGTTTTTGCTTAACAGTCGTCTGTGCGACTGCTATGGATTCTTAAGCAAGACTGCAGTTTCGGAACTATAGCGTTCCTCGTCAGTTGCTACTACGGTAAAGTCTTAGGTACAGAGAGCGAAGCAGACTGTTTAAATACTGGTGGCTAGGATCGAAAATACTAACTTGCCATTGGCTGCAAAAGTGATCAATAGCGTAGGTTTATCTTTGATCCGTGTTCTGTTGTGCTTCCTTCACGTTCAAGAATGCTTTTTGGGGGCTGAACCGGTATGATAGTATCTGACTAGGTTGCAGTGAGGGAAGGTCACTGACATGTACTAGTGCGTGTAAGTGTCTTTCTCAGGAGATTCGAGATATTTTCTCGTAACGTTCTCCGGCAAAATCAGTAACCCGAGTGAGATTTCTTCCCACGAGAAAGACACTTACACGCACTAGGACGCTGGGCCCAGAGTCATACTGACATGGCAGGAAATAATCACATTCACGGACAAAGAAACTTGCATGCATGCATGTAGTTTTTCAGATACAGCCATTTCGGAGAAAACCAAAAAAACTAAAATCTTTATTCAGCCGTAATAAACAGAGGTCAAAGGATATAAAACACTTTACAACTGCATCTGAAATCAAATCCTATCAGGGACACCTACCGAAGCATAAACCACAGGAAATGATTACTCAGTATGCATGTAACAAACCTGCTTCATGACCTCTAAATATAAGATTTAGTGCGTCAAAAACAAGATTTACTCAGTCAAAGTTTATAATGCTACACTTCCTGCACTGTGTAGTGCTAGTAACCTTCGCGCGAGAGAAAAAAGAAAGAGAACCACTGTTCAAGCAGACTCTCAAGGTCACGTTTCACATTATCACGAGCTTATGAGTCGTGTTTGGCCTGTCAACGCTTATTTCTTACTGCATACGAGAAATAACTATTTTCAATTAAGCATGACACTATGAAACCATTGACACCACGAAACCTATGAAACCATGAAACCATGAAACTATTGACACCACGAAACCTATGAAACCATGCAACAATTGACACCACAAAACCCATGAATCTATGAAAGCCTTGACACCAGGAGACCTATGAAACCATGAAACCATAGACACCACGAAACCTATGAAACCATGAAACCATTGACACCACGAAACCTATGAAACCATGAAACCATTGACACCACGAAACCTATGAAACCATGAAACCATTGACACCACGAAACCTAAGAAACCATGAAACCATTGACACCACGAAACCTATGAAACCATGAAACCATAGACACCACGAAACCTATGAAACCATGAAACTATTGACACCACGAAACCTATGAAACCATGAAACCATGTACACCACGAGACCTATGAATCCATGAAACCATAGACACCACGAAACCTATGAAACCATGAAACCATAGACATCACGAAACCTATGAAACCATGAAACCATTGACACGACGAAACCTAAGAAACTATGAAACCATTGACACCACGAAACCTATGAAACCATGAAACTATTGACACCACGAAACCTATGAAACCATGAAACCATTGACACCACGAAACCTATGAAACCATGAAACCATTGACACCACGAAACCTATGAAACCATGAAACCATTGACACCACGACACCTATGAAACCATGAAACCATTGACACCACGAAACCTAAGAAACCATGAAACTATTGACACCACGAAACCTATGAAACCATGAAACCATAGACACCAGGAAACCTATGAAAGCATGAAACTATTGACACCACGAAACCTATGAAACCATGAAACCATTGACACCATGAGACCTTTGAAACCATGACTCCATGATACTATCATTATATGACATAGACATTGGCATATACTTATTAGCATAAATTCGTGCACCGTAACACCAAGTTGTAACCACTGTGACAGTGTGCGAATAAAAGATCAATCAGTTCCTCAATGTTCATTACCTGCAAGCTCTCTGCGAAAATCTCCGCGTAGATTTTAGCCGTGATTCAGTTAATGCAGCTACGGGACATTCCAAAAGTTTTTTTAAAAGAAACTTCTTAAAATCGCATTTTGATTTCATATAGAAATTTTTCACAAAGAGCAGAACCGGATGCATGCGGTCAACAGATGTTTATCTAATGCTGTGTTTACACTCAAGCGTTTACCAAGGTAAACATTAACTGACTAAACCCTGGTACATTTGTACAGTGTTTATACGGGCTCAAATAACTAAGGTAAGTCTGTCATCAATCACAATCTAATCGAATTGGCGGCAAATTCTAAATCCACGCATAAATGCTCGCGTTTAAAAGAGAAGCTGTGGATCTTGTAGTCCTCGCGTTTTATTTTCTTGTTCTTGATCAGCAAACCCAGGAATCGAGTTTGCAGCAGCTCTTACTTTTGCAGCACCTAAAGAGGTGGAGGCGAAAGCGATTAATTCTGCTACAAATTGCCCTTCGCAAGACAAGGCGCGTTAGACGTGCGTGGTCGTGGCCGAGAAACCAATTCTGGTTCGAAACTCTATTAAACGGAAATTTTGTTGAAGAATGGTGTGTCTTATGTCTTTGGTTTTTGCCATAACTTCTTCGTAGACCGAAACCAAACGTGGAAACCTGGTCGAAAACCTAGTCTCGAAAACCTGGTCTCGAAAACGTGATCGAATAAGCCTGACGCAATCCCGACACCACAGGATTTGAAATTCTATGCGACCGCAAGCGGATGTATCTGTCATCCAAACCTTGGTTACCGACCTTAACCATGCCTTTTCGCAGGGCAAACCGAAATTTTACCTTAGTTAACTTTCTATTGTCTTGAGCGGTGTTTACCAGGGTATCAGTTGGCGTTTACACACGCAAAATATTTACCTAGGTAAGTTTACTCCAATACCTCGGTAGCACGCTCAAGTCTAAACACGGCATAAAATAAGCCCTTGAAATTACATAATAAATAAACTATCCAAGCTAAGATCTCACATTGTATATATTGCATCAAGAAACAACTCTCAGATCTGAATAAACTCCGACATATGGTTATCTTTCTCTTATAAATTATTCCGCACATGCATGGCATATTATTGCTGAGATGTCACGCGCGACTGAAATCACGACTTCGCGCCGCGGTGATGTGACAAATGCACGTGATAAACAAACCGTCCTTTGTCCTTTGCTCATTTCAAATTATTGAAGCGGCGATTGCTGTGATTGCGAGTGCGCTTGATTTTACTGTTTGTTACGATCTGACAAAAGTACACTTCAACTCTACGGATTGTCTGAACACGTACATGTTGTTTTTATCACGAATCAAAAATGGGTATGACTCCTCAGCGACTGCTGATTGATATTCGCATATCTCATACATAGCATTGAGCTTTTGTTTTTTAATACTGAGAGCTGAGTATCTAACATTGTTACTAGTTACAATATTATAAACTCACTCGTTATTCTACCACATACTATATTATATGTGAAGATAAAAACAGTCCAAAGCCCGCATAAAATCAACTGTGCCATTTTGTAATATATGTCTCAGTTTCTTACAAAATAGAAGAACCGTCAAAATGTTTGTTGTATCAGCACCTTGAATCTCCACTTGTAGATGTTGATGAATGCGCCAGTGGTTTACACAGCTGCCACAAGTTCGCTTCATGTACAAACATTATTGGATCCTACACCTGTTCATGCCAGCAGTATTTCAATGGAGACGGTAAAAACTGCCAACACTCGGTGAGCGGTGAGTACTTTTCATTGATTTGGGTAAGTCAATACAACCTGAAAACCAAACATAGTTCAGGGTACGCAATCGTTTTGTTCGCTACCTGGGATATCTCAATACAAGGCCCAATAAATGGTATGAAGCACAAGAGAATGGGAAAGTTTGCTTTTATTTTAGTCAATGCTTGTATCGCCCCAGTTTACTTAACTGATTTCCAGCATCAGTGCCGCACGTCACGAATCACCACTTTTCTCTCCAGCTTTTTTATTTGTTTTGTGTCGTAAAAACTTAGGAGCGCCGGTACCGCTTTATTCTTCGGCCCATACGTATTTCACCTGTGCTTATTTTACGTCATCAAAAGCCTCAACGTTCTGGAAGTTAAAAAAATTCATACCGTCTGGCCCGGGTTGCTCGAAGCATGGTTAGTGCTAACCAGCGTTAAATACCATGGAAACCTATACATTTTGATACCTCTTAACCAAGGTTAGCGCTAACCAGGCTTCGAGCAACGGCCCCTGGTTGCTATGAAGTGACGTAATCATCCAGTTGAGTATCCATCACCGTAACACTTTTGCGGTCAACTACCGCAGCGCTCGTAAGGTACTTTAAATAAACCGTGTTCAAAACCCTGTAGGAAATCTGTTTATTTTTTAATCGACTAATGCACTGCTGACTTTCACGAAGTCAACTTTTGCATAAATTATCAAACATTATGTTAAGCGGGAAATCTACCTACGGTTCGCGGGAAACGGAACTTCTATAGCGGCGCAAGACAAATGTTTCGAGAGTCGAGGATGTTCTCACAAACTATTCACTATGCGACGAAAGCAGAAATCACTGGAATGATAGCTCATGTAATGGTAATTTTATCAATCCAGGTCGCGCCGTGTTCGCTCTAGAACGCTGTGACAACCTCGTTTGGCGCGCTTCTCAATACTTCCAAAACATGTTGTGATCGCGGTAAGTAGACTTAAGCACTTAGTATCGCCAAGCCATTCAAATTTGTATACCCAATTCTTTGGCTGAAGATTCTAGCAAACAACAAACCAAGTAAATCTGGATGGAAGAGGAAATTGTCTCCCTAAACGTAGCCAGGTTATATTTTGAAGGATGGCGACCCAATTCAACGTGTCTTCCGGGTCAGCCCTAGTTTATAGTTCGTAAGAGTATAAATTGCGATCTCGGATCCCTGTTTTCGCTTAAGCTTTCTTTGATCAAACTTTAGTAGAAACAAAATAACGCAGGCATTCTCTTGCAAGACTAGTGACACAATCGGCTGAAGGAAATATCTGTTTAAAAGTCCGGTAAATTATCCCTTCTTGCGCACCGCAAAATCAGCTAAAATCAGTCGCAGGAATCCTGGCATATTATCAAGCCTGAGCGCTTCTAAGAATAACACGTTTAGAATTTTGACGCGTAGGGAAAAATAGACAGTTGTTCTATATCCTTTCTGGTTCATCCAGGTAGAAGTCCTGGCATGATATTCATTATGCCTGAGCGCTTCTAGGAGATATAACACGTTTAGCATTTCGACCCGTAGCCGTAAAAAAAAAAAAACCTCGGCAGTTGTTCTATATCCTTTCTACTTCCACCAGGTAGAAGTCCTGGCATATTATTATGCCTAAGCGCTTCTAAAATATATAACATGTATAGCATTTTAACCCGTAGCCGTAAAAGAATTAGGCAGTTGTTCTATATCCTTTCTGGTTAATCTGGTTAATCCAGGTAGAAGTCCTGGCATATTACTATTACTATTATAACAATTACCTAGGAAGTACACGTGATTAAGTTTCTGAGTCAGAAGTACACGAACAATTAAATAATCGTTGTGGGAGAAATTTAACTTTTTTATTTTACTGTCTTCGTTCATTTCCGTTTTGATGGTAGTCTTATGGAGTCTTTCGAGAGGTATTCTTGATTTCCGTTCTGCAAAAAACTCTTCATCATAGTGCCCGTCAAACAAATCTTGCTGCGCTATATTTTGAGCAACAGGGTAGGATAATAGGGACCTTACGATCCGACAACGGCGACGTCCATGAAAGCGTCGTTGAAAAATGGACTTCGCATCTTTTTAAACTTTTTCGCGATTATCCCACTCGCCCTGTTACTTAAAAGAAGGGAATTTTGGTTGGAGCTGAAGAGAGGGGGCCGCGCCCTAGTTCAGACAGAGATGGTAGAATTTATCGCCTTGCCGTTCCCGTACTCAAGTAAACTTAAAGTGTGGTCATTTCACGTCGTTGTTGTGCAGGCACAGCAAAGAAATGTACAAAAAAGCGTGATGCACGTGCAGAGTTGTTGTTTTGCTCATTAAACCTATTGTTTTTTTGACGTTCTCCTTGCAGTCGCCGTCGTAGTTTCGTAAGGTCCCTAGTGAGGACCCTGCTACGCGTCCTTTTGTTGTCACTGGTCAAATAACGGATTCAACGATCGACTTTTTTGTTTTGTTCTACAGTATTTTGTTTTTCTTTGTTTGTTTTTACCCTTAAGTTAATTTTAGCTTCTTGCAAAAAAAATGGCTCAAATGGCTAAATACTGCCTACATCATCAAGCCGAGCAAGACGGAGCTGACCCTTAAGCTGATATCGTGCATCCTTGCTCAATGCGTTTAGAAAGTACGTTTTCATTATAAGTGACCTTGTATAAATATACTATTAATAGTGGTTATATAGAGTGCTTATAAGAAAAGACCTTTCAGTTAACAGTCTTTTGACAATAGAACTGGCACAGAAAAAATCTCAAAGTAGCGAACCTTTTTATGCAAAAGGCTTATAATCAATTTTTAGTTGCCAGAACGTTTTTGTAAATGTCAGGATTGAATCAGCCTCATGATCACAAAATTGATATCGTTACCTGTAATTATTAATTATGGTCAATTCTGAAATATTCAAGCTCTTTTTTATATATGCACGGACCTATTTTACCTGGAAAATACTCGGAAAAGCTAAAGGCGGTACATGAATCCATGTATTCCTGTATTAAAATTTAACGTCGTATGTAACAGAGATAACTCATCGGTTTATACTGGCACAAGTTATGACGATGCCTAACATATACTGCTGATGGGTAATAGTGTTTTCTTCCTGTGTTTTTGTTAGTCAACAGTGAAGATGTAGTTGGGGAATTTAGAACACGAAAAGCTCCCCTCTTTTACCTCGAGCTCGCCCCATGTAAGGGAATGCGGATTCCGGAATCCAAGAAATTTTTGCTGGTGGAATCCAGAATCTGGGAAATTGCTTGTGGAATGCGGAATCCTAGGCTTTGGAATCCGTAATCCTTCTAAAGATTTAAATCCACAATCCAAGTTCCTTTGACAAAGACTGAAATCCAGTCTCTAGAATCCGGAATTCACGGCGTGGAATCCAGAATTCAAGAGTGTCTTAGATTCCCTTACATAGGGCGATCGAGCTGATGTACAACTGAATGAAACGTTGCTAGCGGCTGTTGTTCTTTCTCTTCTTTTGTGTCAGAATGTCAGAACCACGGAAGTCTCAACAGCGGGACCCGAAGGACTTCGTATGGCTACGGCAATTACTGTGATAGAGGTCTCGGCCCTGGATGGTTCCGTTTCCAGGGGTCTGCCGGCACAAGAATGGTAACATCATGTTCACCTATCTATAGTTGTGGTACCTCTTGTCCCTCCTGGCTAAGTGGAGGACACCCCTCAGTAGCGGACGGTCAGGTCACCAGGACGGTTTATTTCAATTGTGGTTCCTGCTATTCTTATTCAACAAGCATCAAAGTGAAAAATTGTGGCTCATATTATGTCTACTATCTTAGTGGTACACCTACTTGTGATCTCCGTTACTGTGGCACTAACTAGACAGAAATGTAAACAATTAGTCTATATGTAAACATTCTATCATTTCACTAAAGTAGGCTTTATTGTAAAAACAAAGTAACCATCTAAAAAAAAAAGACTCTTACACTTTAACTTCAATATCAATATCTGTTTAGTGGCCTTTTTTTCATTTTTGGACAGTGGTTTTGCCCATCTTTTAGGACAACTTGTCTCTATAATAGTTAAGACACTTAGAAATACAAATTTGGGAGCGTCAAGGTGCTTTAAAATGAAAAAGACCTCACTTCCGGTTGACGTGCGTCGCTCAAAAACGCCTTTGCTTAAGCTCGCTAATAATATAGCGCCTATAAGAGGGTCTCAATGGGGTGGTGGCTTTTACGGTTATCGGCGAAAATTTTGGTTCTTTTACGGCTATCGGTTATTTTTTTTTCAGTTACGGTTAACAAAAAGTTAAAAATTAATTTCTTTTGTTTCAAAGAGTTAAATATTAATAAAGCTGTATTTTTTGTAGCTTCAACGCAAAGTAAAGGTCTTAGGATCATCTCGGGATAAAATGAAGTTATTCTTTTGAATTATTTTAACAGTTGATAGCTAGATCATACTATTTATAAAGTGTTCCATTTCTACTATTATTTTACGCATAGAAATCACAGCACGAAAAAAGACATTTAAGTGAGCGTAATGGTGGCGTAAAGCTGGCGTTAAGTTCTCATTTACATAACTTTACGACCCAATTACGCCCCTTAAAGTCGAACTTTACGCACATGCGTAAAGGTATCGTAAAGAGACAGTTTAAGCTCTGCGTAAAGTTGGTGTAAATGCGCTTTAAAGTAGTGACTTAAACCAGCGTAATTGAAGCGTAAAGTTGGTGTAAAGATCTTATTAAGACAATCCTTTTACGCGTTAAGCGGACATGCAAAGGAGTAGTAGTTTTAAAAATAGGGCCTCTTTCCGTTTCCAATTTTGCATTACCATAACCAATTTTCAAATTGCCTATCTTTATTTTTACATTTCAAATCCCATGAAAATCGCCAGGTATGCTACATTGTTGTAACTGCAAAAGCTGCAAATACGAATTGCATTCTTTAAGTGTACTCCCGAAAAGAGTAATCTTACAAGGTTTTAAAAAACAAAACACACTGATACTCTAAAACTGAATTTTCTAAATATGACATGATTTATTTCTGTGTTAGCATCTTTGTCATTACATAACAAATTAAAAAAACGACACTTTTTCCAACACCTAAGGTTTAAATAAGAAGATACAGTGTACATAAACTGTTCAAGTGGGTCAAAACAGTCTTCTCAAAATATATATATATAAAAAAATCATCTTAACTTAGTATCATACCAAATTAAGATGATTTATAGTTTAAAATAATTATTAGTATTTACATGTAAGGTACAAGAAAACTAATGAAGTTAAATTTTGATAAAAAACAGCAACCCTAACACACAAATTAATGTAAAGGTGGGTCAAATGGTATCTTCCAAAATGAAAATATTTAGTATAATTTAGCATAATTCAAATTAAAAGCTTAAACATATTTAGATAAGAAATAAAAAGACTGAAAGCTTAATACATGTATAACATTGATGGTTTCTTGATTTAGCCCTTTCACTCTGTTTACAGTCAAATTTAACAAAAAAATCATAATAACAAATCATTTTCATAAACTGATGATGTAAAAGTTAGATGCACAAGGCTGTCATTAAGATTGCAAGTTGCAGGGCAAATGAAATTAGTGAGCGGGACATTGAAAATGTGGAAAGCTGTTTATGTTTTAATAAATTTTCCTTTCGTTTCCTCTCAAAATAGCCAAGTATTGGGCTCAAGGTAGCCAATTTAAAATCTGGTTTATGCCCCTAAGTGACAGCCCTGGAACCACTTTACAAGACTAAGGCCTGTAATTAACATGTATTAATCCCGTTTGCTTTGAGAGGACTTTCTGTCACCAACATCCCATACCATGCTGATCTGCTGAATAAATAGAAAGCAAGTATATTATTTGAGTAAACTACACAGATTACTTGAAGGCTAATGATAATACACTTAATTGGGCACTAAAGGCACAAGTACATGTACAGTAAGGGGGTGTTTACATGATAAACCTCGGACCGGCGCGAGTCTCATACCGGGATCATTTAAACTAGCCCCAAAAACGTTTTGACTAGCAGAATTGATTAACAATTCTTCTGTAATTCGAATTCCTCAAAAAATATCACTTGCCCGTCGGGCAATTTAAAAACAGAATTCACTAGCCCGATAGCAAAATCCACTAGCCCCAGGCTATCAGACACTACTTTCTTTGCACACTGCATATAAGCACCTTATTCCCAAAAGTTTCAAATTTTCTTGAAACTTTAATTACCTAATATATTTTTTTCCTTTTTAATACGAAACATTTAAGGTTCCTAGTTAATGTAACAGGAGTGAAGCCACCTTGCTATTTACAGCCCTTATCCTCAATCTTGAAAACAATGCCTCCTAATTATAATGTACGGTGTACCCTGTAAAGAAAGCAGCCCATTTTCTTTCCTTGCCACCAGGGACATTTCACAAGAGAGACAGTTGTATTTGCAGAATAATAATGGTGTATGAAGACAAGAGAATCCAAAAAACAGCTATGACTGCTATGACTCTCTTAAGAGTCTTATCTTTCACAACTTGTTTCTTTAAATTTCATTTTCCTTTAAACTTAGATTTACTGATCACACAACTTTGGTGCGAATAGAACGACTTCTGGTTTCTAACATGATTGTGTGCTTTGCTTCCCAAAAATTAAGGCATTCAATTTCCTGACAGTATGTACTGCACTGTATCCTCTCAAGAACCACAATATAATTTCATAAGAGCAGTGCACAATAAAGATTGAAATGAATGGAAATATATGAAATGAATCATACTTTGAACTGCAGATGAAGGTATGAAACTGTGAAGATGTTACCAACTATGTTGGCACTTACAGATTAACGTTTGCTATTATTTTCGGTGCTTTCTTCCAAAACTACCAAAATAATACTAACTGTTTTTGTTTCTGTTGTACTGGGGGTGGAGCGGAAATTCTTCGATCAGTCGCACATGCAAGATCTACCTTTCATGAATACAGTAGAGCACATTCTATTGCTCATCCTGTCAAAAGCATGGTCGTAAGAAAAAGGCGTTCATGTGCCGGGCAAGGTCTTTGTGTCGAATCAATGGTTAATCGTGGGTAGAGAATGTTAGAAGTTGCACTGATACGGGTATACTTGCGTTAACAATGTGAAGTCAACGTTCCTTTGCAAACGTGAGTCCAATCTGTAGTTGTTTGTTAACATTTAATAGGTATTTTCATTTCTTTTGTCATTTACGGGAAATGCAGAAAAACAATTGAAGCAACGATAAATGGCATAAATCCGGCCTCGTTTCCAGCCGTCCTCTGCGATTTCGGATGTGACGTCACCTTTCAAGCTTGTCGGGAAAATTCGCCGAGGACGTCCCCGCGCTATCGCGCTTGGTTCCAAACCTCCTCTGGTCACTCGGATAGCGCAAACTGGCCTGGGTACAAGGCTGGTATAAATCAAGGTTTCACGTATACATCTAGACTAGAACCCGAGCTTTATAGTTTGCCATCTCGTCCAGTTAACATGCTAACGCAGCCTGTCAGCAATGGGAGAGGTTGCTCCAACCAGTTGCAAAAATGATGAAACACTCCCGCGGAAAAACGACCTTTCTTGCTTCAAATCGCTCCTGGTCACAAGTCTGTAACATATAATACTGACCTCCCTCCTCCCTCCAATTCAAAGTTGTTCCTCCACGTTTTGAGTATGGTCTTGTATTGCTAGCAACTTTGATAAGGGGTGGAGGGGGGATCACAAGCACAAGATCATGGACAGGCCATTTATGCCAAAATACGGTACAGTGTCTCAAGTACTTTTGCAACTGATTGTCTCATTTAAGGTTTACTTCAACAAGCGATTTCCACGTCTTAAGTTCCCAAAACGAAGACTATAGCGACATAAATAAATAGAACGGCACTTTGTGTTGCTTTTCCCAACCGATACATCATTGTCATTGATAGCAAACTGCCTAAAAAAGCGCTGAAGAATGTAGTGACTTGTAAATTTTGCCTCAGTTTTGTTGTAACGCATGCGCCATTATCTACCGTGACATAGCTTAAAGTTTTGGCGTTGTAATTAAACTCTGAGAAGCGCGAATGCATAATAACAGCATAATTTTCTTTTTCTTGGTATCTAGAGATACTACAGTTGCGAATAAAGCTGCCAAACCTTCATTTTCACTCCTGTATCTGTAACGCAATGACATTTGATATGCAATGGCGTTATGTAATCGGTATACCGCGTGACTTATTTTTCAACATCGCTGTTAAAGTAAAACCGTTCAGTTTTTTTCATCTACTACGGTGAAAATAAGATGGTTATTAAAGTCCGTTAGAGCTAGAGAGCAGAAGAAGTTGTCTGCTATGTTAATTTCTATTTTCTGACGGTCTACCATCATTCTCGGTCTACCATTCTGCAACAGTAAGAAATAGAATATATTATTATATTTATCTCATATGATGGTAGACCGTGTAGACCGTGTAGACCGTTGAAGCACGTAAATTCCTGACATTGCTGTGCTGGAAAATTGCTTTTCTTGGAGATAGTGTCTTCCTTTTTGCAAAGAAATAAATTTCCTTACCAAGTACAGAACTACAAAGCCACGTTATATGCGAGCTCTCGCGACTATGTTACTGAAATACGCGCGTGAATTTTCATGATCTGATGCCTAGCCACGCTCGGGCTTCAAAATCGAAACAAAGTTGTAAGACGACCAAAGAGTAAACACAAATCCAAACTTGTGTTAAGTAAAGTAAAGTCGGCAACAGCTGCTTTTTAGCGTAACTTTTCTTTCCTGTAAATGGCAGGCGATAAAAGAGGAACAACGTCCACGTACTTATCGGAAACAACAACAAAAAGCTATCTCCCTGATCTAGCGGGGCATCTGACGTCACTTTCCTTCCATAAATAAACATCTTTTAACCGAGTTCGAAGAAAATATATTATTTTTCGCATCTCTGTAGTGTTTTAGGACCAAAAAGCCCTTTCGTTGCAGCTTACTTAAGATGGTGTGGCATCTTTTGCTACGTGCTTCCTTTAAAAGCCCAATTTCTTGCATATTACCACATAAACAAAAGGGCCAACAACTGCCGTTTTTGTCTCGCCATTTTTAAACAGGCAAACCTACAAAAATGAAATACTGTTTTTTTATAACCACCTCCTTAGGTGCTACGAGTGCACCACGTTTTACCCCGTTTGATAATCGTGCACCACGGCTATAGGGGTATGAGGTACTCAGACAACCAGTTGCAAAAATGATGAAACACTCCCGCGGAAAAACGATCTTTCTTGCTTCAAATCGCTCCTGGTCACAAGTCTGTAACATATAATACTGACCTCCCTCCTCCCTCCAATTCAAAGTTGTTCCTCCACGTTTTGAGTATGGTCTTGTATTGCTAGCAACTTTGATAAGGGGTGGAGGGGGGATCACAAGCACAAGATCATGGACAGGCCATTTATGCCAAAATACGGTACAGTGTCTCAAGTACTTTTGCAACTGATTGTCTCATTTAAGGTTTACTTCAACAAGCGATTTCCACGTCTTAAGTTCCCAAAACGAAGACTATATATAGCGACATAAATAAATAGAACGGCACTTTGTGTTGCTTTTCCCAACCGATACATCATTGTCATTGATAGCAAACTGCCTAAAAAAGCGCTGAAGAATGTAGTGACTTGTAAATTTTGCCTCAGTTTTGTTGTAACGCATGCGCCATTATCTACCGTGACATAGCTTAAAGTTTTGGCGTTGTAATTAAACTCTGAGAAGCGCGAATGCATAATAACAGCATAATTTTCTTTTTCTTGGTATCTAGAGATACTACAGTTGCGAATAAAGCTGCCAAACCTTCATTTTCACTCCTGTATCTGTAACGCAATGACATTTGATATGCAATGGCGTTATGTAATCGGTATACCGCGTGACTTATTTTTCAACATCGCTGTTAAAGTAAAACCGTTCAGTTTTTTTCATCTACTACGGTGAAAATAAGATGGTTATTAAAGTCCGTTAGAGCTAGAGAGCAGAAGAAGTTGTCTGCTATGTTAATTTCTATTTTCTGACGGTCTACCATCATTCACGGTCTACCATTCTGCAACAGTAAGAAATAGAATATATTATTATATTTATCTCATATGATGGTAGACCGTGTAGACCGTGTAGACCGTTGAAGCACGTAAATTCCTGACATTGCTGTGCTGGAAAATTGCTTTTCTTGGAGATAGTGTCTTCCTTTTTGCAAAGAAATAAATTTCCTTACCAAGTACAGAACTACAAAGCCACGTTATATGCGAGCTCTCGCGACTATGTTACTGAAATACGCGCGTGAATTTTCATGATCTGATGCCTAGCCACGCTCGGGCTTCAAAATCGAAACAAAGTTGTAAGACGACCAAAGAGTAAACACAAATCCAAACTTGTGTTAAGTAAAGTAAAGTCGGCAACAGCTGCTTTTTAGCGTAACTTTTCTTTCCTGTAAATGGCAGGCGATAAAAGAGGAACAACGTCCACGTACTTATCGGAAACAACAACAAAAAGCTATCTCCCTGATCTAGCGGGGCATCTGACGTCACTTTCCTTCCATAAATAAACATCTTTTAACCGAGTTCGAAGAAAATATATTATTTTTCGCATCTCTGTAGTGTTTTAGGACCAAAAAGCCCTTTCGTTGCAGCTTACTTAAGATGGTGTGGCATCTTTTGCTACGTGCTTCCTTTAAAAGCCCAATTTCTTGCATATTACCACATAAACAAAAGGGCCAACAACTGCCGTTTTTGTCTCGCCATTTTTAAACAGGCAAACCTACAAAAATGAAATACTGTTTTTTATAACCACCTCCTTAGGTGCTACGAGTGCACCACGTTTTACCCCGTTTGATAATCGTGCACCACGGCTATAGGGGTATGAGGTACTCAGACAACCAGTTGCAAAAATGATGAAACACTCCCGCGGAAAAACGACCTTTCTTGCTTCAAATCGCTCCTGGTCACAAGTCTGTAACATATAATACTGACCTCCCTCCTCCCTCCAATTCAAAGTTGTTCCTCCACGTTTTGAGTATGGTCTTGTATTGCTAGCAACTTTGATAAGGGGTGGAGGGGGGATCACAAGCACAAGATCATGGACAGGCCATTTATGCCAAAATACGGTACAGTGTCTCAAGTACTTTTGCAACTGATTGTCGCAGGGTACTCGACATCCAACCCTTAATTTTATCATTCAGATATCGACGAATGTACTTCTTCTGTCCCTCTCTGTGACGTCAATGCAACTTGCACCAACAATGATGGATCTTACGTCTGTACTTGCAAGAATGGATTTTCTGGTGACGGAAAAACTTGCAAAGGTAGGAAAAGTTATTTCCCAGAGTAATTTTTCAACCAAATTTGACCAGGGTTTAGATTCTTTTGCGACACCAAAAGAACATTCTTCATCGCCCCGTATAAGAGATTCCCCATTCCCGAATCCGTGAAATTTTTGCTTGTGGAATCCGGAATCCTGGGATTTGGAATCCAGAATACAGCTCAAGGAATCTAGAATCCCACTAAGGATTGGAATTCAGAATCCAGATTCCACTGACAAAGACTGGAATCAAGTACCTGGAATCCAGAATCCACAGCCAGGAATCCAGAATCCAACCCCGTCTTGGATTCTCTTACATGGGAAAATTCTTCAACTTAAACCTTAATTTCAATGACATAATTTGCATATAATTCTTCTAGCTTACATTCGTCTCCAACATTTCACGATTAGTTTACGTTTTCGTTTTCGTTTTTCACCTTGCTTGATGCGTAAGAGGGTTCCAAAGTCTGAAGCGATACTGGCCTTACTTGATACCTTTCAGGGCTGCATCGCGAATGGTAATTAGCCTGAGTAATTATTGTATTTGATGTTTGTTTTTTATATCTAATTTAATGAAGTCGAGCGTAGTTTATGCGGCTATTTAGTTTATGCACGTTTGTAAGATTTGAGACAGCGATCTGACCGTGTATCAGTTTTGATATAAGCTTACAGAACTTCAAAAAGCCTTTAGACATTTTCTCAACGCAAATTAGAAAGAAAACGTTCCAAAGAATATTTAGTTATAATTTTGGCTGTAAAAGAAAGCTTTGAGCGATTTTCTTGCCTCGAGTTCATCTTTGAAAAGAAGCAAACACCGGAAAGCCGGCTTAAAACATAAACTAAAGCTTTAAGCTTGAAGACTCAGGATTCAGTTTAGAGACACTTTAATACTTGTCTTCGTGAATGAAAATGGTTGTCTCTGTATATCTTTTACCGAATTATATTTCTTTTATTGATTGTTAGTAGTCTCTCGTGTAATTTTAATCGCTGTGCCGTTTGTTTTCAGTCGTTCAGTGAACATCGCTTGCAGAAGGTACTCAAAATGCCGCGCGTATCAAAAGCTTTTGAAGATTACAGATCGAAAAAATCATCAAATAAAAAAATAACCATAATAAATTCTTTATTATGTTGAAACGTAACTCTGTTAATGTTCATTCAAACACGACCACAGCTCGCTCTGCAAAAGTGATTTTGGAAGTTTTTTGAACTGTTTAGCTAAAAGCCCACGCGTGCTTTCATCGATCGTCCTGAATGTTGAATGAGTGCACTTTGTATTGCAAAACTGTGAAATACTACATTCTGCCTGAGGTCTGTATGATAAAAATGGTCCCTCATGGTACTGTTTTTAAATGGTATAAAAGGTTGGTTTACATGCACCCAGAATTGTTAGCAAGATTTTGTAAAGTAAACTTGTCGAACGCAAAAAATTCGGCCTGATTTTTTTTCCAGGCCTAATTAATCTACGGTGATCAAGAGCCATTATGGCTCTTAAATGTGATCAACGATGATTGCGAGTTTGGGGGTGTACATATGAGGCTATCTTGGGCTATTTGCAAATTATTTTTCTCTAAAATCACTCAGCCTTTCCCTTAAAAGTCACATGAATGTGCTCTAAAGTTAACTGAATTGTGGAATACAGAGTTTATTGTTTGATTTAAATTATAAATTATTAATGGGAGCCTCGCGTTTAGCCTTGGCTAAATCTATATATTATAGTTAGCATCTCCAACTTCTGGGCATGACTTGATTGACACAGTGACGTAATCTGATATCATTGGCATTGGCAGAATTATTGGCAGAATCCAAATTTCCCTAAAAAAACACATTAAGCAAAAAATACTTAAATACGAAAGTAAAATCAAGAAGCTGGCCAACATATAATTAATTAACCTTCAAATGGCAGTGATGTTATGGTGACGTCGTTTATTACTAAAAAGGAACTGGAACCAACAGCCATCTTGGATCCGCGATTCTGAATTGTTTAAATGTATTCCAAAAATACTTGAGACAAGTGTCAATCAAGGAATTTTTAACACGAAACTTTATCTGAGTATAAAAGGATGCTTAGCACTAAAAGCAAAAAAAGTCTGCAAAATATGCAATTTGGAGAGAAATGAACACTGTTGAAAATTAAACCATAGTTATTAGAGGAGGCTGGTTATGAAAAGCGGCAAACATCTATTTTTTTTATTATAAAAACAACGGTGCCACAGATTATGTTGGAAGCTTCCTGAAGGAGCACTATCCTTTGTTTTCTGTAGGCAAATTGTGACGAAAAAGATAAATTAATGCAACGTTTTTATTGGTCAAAATGCTAGGAATGCAACGTTGGGCATCTTCAGGTCCACAAAAATATATAACAAAGGACTCAGACGGGTTTCATAACCACTTCACTCCATTAACTATGATTGAACTCAGAATCTGCCATTTAGTCTTATTACTAAAAATTCATGTTTTTTTCTCAAACTAGTCACTAAAGAACCGGGATTTCGTCAACAGTGAGAATAGCTTTAAAAGAATAATACTTAATTAAGTGTAATATATCCAGTAGTAAAAATATAATTAAAACCTACTTTTTTACAAAAATGTAACTTTTGAAGAACATGGCCACCAAAACCTGGTTGCCATGCTTACGTCAATGTAGACCTATTCGTCACGACGACTTTCTAAAATAATTTTTAGGAGAAGTCACTAAGTTTAGTGGTCATAGCTTGAACGGTTTTGAAGTTATTCATCTTCAAAATTTCCCCTCCCGGTTTGAATAGCACATAGAAGGCCATAGTCACCCACCATATGAGTATCAACTTAGTGATACATGACCTCCAACACAGTTTTGCGTTTGAATTACACAATCAAACTCTTTCAACGTAGACCAGTGCGTTTTTAACTTCATTCATCCTTTTTTTTTAGACATCGACGAATGTTCTACCAACTCTCATAGCTGTGACTTAAATGCGGTGTGCGGCAATACTCTGGGTTCTTACACATGCGGTTGCAAACCAGGATACTCGGGTAATGGAAGAACATGCGCTGGTAAGTTGAATAGTGTAATTTAAAAACAAAGTGTTTATGCTAAATTTGTCTTTAGCAGTGTATGAAGCAATTACCCCAAGCAAAAACTCACAAAATCTGACGACATTATTGTGTGTAACCCAGTTAAACAGGCAACGATGGGTGTTCATAAAAAATATATCAAACTAAAAACTAAAATACACCAGATGAATTTTTAAAAGTTTACCTATTTGATAAAGTTGTAAATATAGTTTCTTAAAGACATACATTTTTTTCTTGTAAAGTATTTATTTCACAGTAAGGGTTTTGCGTTTGAATTATGCAATCAAACTCTTTCAACGTAGACCAGTGCGTTTTTACTTGTAGTAGAGTAACTTCATTCATCTTATTTTTTTTTGTTTTAGACATCGACGAATGTTCTACCAACTCTCATAGCTGTGACGTAAATGCAGTGTGCGGCAATATTCTGGGTTCTTACACATGCGCTTGCAAACAAGGATACTCGGGTAATGGAAGAACATGCTCTGGTTAGTTGAATAGTGCAATTTAAAAACAAAGTGTTTATGCTAAATTTGTCTTTAGCAGTATATGAAGCAATTACCCCACGCAAAAACTCACAAAATCTGATGACACTATTGTGTGTAATCCAGTTAAACAGGCAACGATGGGTGTTCATAAAAAATACATCAAATTAAAAACTAAAATACACCAGATGAATTTCTAAAAATTTGTCTATTCCATAAAGTTGTAAACATAGTTTCTTTTATGTGAAGATATATTTTTTTTTTCTTGTAACGTATTTAATCAATTGGTTTCTCGAATATATTACCTATTTACAAGCTACTCCAAAATTCGAGTGTAAGCATAATAAAGATTATGTATGTATGCAAACTACTAGCTTTTAAATTTTTGTAATTGTAACAACATGTTTGTATGTAGATATCGACGAATGCTCTACCAGCTCTCACAGCTGTGACGTTAATGCGGTGTGTAGTAATACTGTGGGATCTTACGCATGCGCATGCAAAGCAGGATTCACAGGAGATGGAAACACCTGCACTGGTGAGCCGTTTAAGTCTAATTGAAAATGTGTGTTTGATATGTTTGTTTCTTAGTAAACCGGCAACAACAGCAATACAACACTCTTTATTTGTGCTCTTCTTGCCCTTCCAATAAAATTTTCGTTTATATGGGAAAAAATTACAGTAATGGCCGCTTGGAGTAAGCGAACAGACGAGCGATGTCAAGCAGTCAGATTATGTGAGCAATAAATAAAAATGAAGTATAGGCACCCATTGCGCAAACGCTGGGAAGCGCTATCCGACGGATAAATCACTATTCAGTAGGTGAGTATAAGGTAATCAATTGCGCTATCTACTGGATAGAGATTTGTCGAGTGGATACAGTTATCCATCTTTTCAACAACTGGGGCCAGGTAGGCAAGATGCGCAAGGTCGTTGTGTCCAGTAAGTACAACAATATCGATTCAAACCTGTGATAATTTTTTCTTTCATCAAGCATGAAATAATTAATTCTGTTTAACTTGTTTCCTCTTTGCACAAAGAAAAAAAACAGTTATACAGGTTATGATTACACCTACATGGCTCCTTTTTTGTAGATATTGACGAGTGCGCCAGCGGTACTCACAAATGCCACAGCTCACTTGCTTCATGTACAAACACAGCGGGATCCTTTAGTTGCACGTGTAACAGTCCTTACACCGGAGATGGCAAAACGTGTATTAATATTCCACACGGTAATTAATCACCAAGAATTAGGAAGATGTCCATTCACTAGACCCTTATTTACACTCGCTAGAAGCACAGCCGACTCTAACCTTGATTGTTTAAAGAGGCCAGGGTTTCAGTTTAATGTTAATATTCAGGGGCACCCAACGAGAATATAACTCAAAACAACTTAAACATAGC